TCATAAAGATACAGAATCTAGAAATGATATTGCTGATAAAATATTACAAGATAAAGCATGGGATATAGCAACATCTAGTGATCATGATATAGGTGAAAGATTAGTTGCTTTACCAACATCAGGTGCTATGTGGTTAAAAAGAAAATTTGGAATGGGATTAGAAATAGGATTAAAATTTTAACCTATATAAATGGAGAAAGTTAAGGTAAATTTAACTGATTATCAAAAATCTAAAATTAAATCTGCTTTTAAGAAAAATAAAAATTTGACTATACAATTTGAAATAGATCAATTTAAAAATGGTAATGATGTATTATTATTAACTAAAAGACAATTGAATAAATTAGAAAAACATAAAAAATTAAATACTGGATTAAGACTTGAATTTTCTTATAATCAACTTAAACAAATAAAAGATGGTGGTTTATTAAATGAAATATTAAATGTTGCTGATTATATTCCTGGCATAAATAGTTTAACACCAAAAGTTAGAAGAGGAGCTAAAGTAGTAAAAGACAATGTTATTCCAAAATTTAGAGAATTTATAAATTGGTTAGATCAAGAATTAGCCAATGTAAAAGGATCTGGATTAGATGAAAAAACATTAAAATATGTTAAGAAAAAAATTTCAACCCATTGACTTTAGCTGATTTAGAAAAATTATGTCAAAATATTAAGAATTTTAGAGGTGTTTTTATGAGAGATATGCTTCCAAAAACTGTTAATAAATTTGAATGTGGTGTAGTCAATTTAGATTCTTTTTCTGGTAATGGAACTCATTGGATATGTTATTATAAAAAAGATAAAATTAAATATTACTTTGATTCTTATGGAAAAATTGTTAATAAACCTTTTAAGGAAATTGTTAAATATTTAGGAAAAGACAATATATTTTTTAATGATTCACAAATTCAAAATTATAATGATCCACCTATATGTGGTCATTTGTGTGTTTTTGTATTAAATGAGTTGAATAAAAATATAAGATTTGATAACATAATCAATAAATTAATTCTTAATAAATATGGATTCATTAAATATATTTGATCTATTTGGTAGACAGAAAAAAGATTTAATTGAAGTAAAAAATGATTATATTAATTCAAAATTAAATTCCATTTTTAATGATATTAATAAGGATTTAAAAAACCATATTAAGAAAACTAATAATTTGGTTAATGCTATTAGTCTATCCAAAAATTATTTAAGTATTAATTCTAGAAGGATTGTTAATGTAAAACCAAGCATTAACGACTATGATGTTGTCATAAAATCTGAGTTAAATGAAGTTTTAAATTCTATTATTAAGGTTGGTAATGATCATTCAAAAACTAAACAGGATTTAAATGAATTGGTTAATTCATTATTTAATCTAAAAATGTATGTTGAAGATTTAGAAAAACAACTTGAAAATAAACTTGCTGAAAAAATAAGATTAGTAACTGCTGGATTAGCACAAATATTAGAAGATAAACTTAATACAGAAAACCAAGAAGATCAATAATTTTTACTATATAAATGGAGTTTATTTACTGTCTTAAATGTAAACAAAAAACCAATTCTAAAGACATTCAAACAATAAAATTAAAAAATAAAAATATGGTTAAAGCAAAATGTTGTATATGTAATTCAAAGAAAAGTAGTTTTACAAAAATTTCCTCCTAATAAATGGCTCTATATAATTCATTTGATTATTTCATTATCAGAAACCAATTTCTATTAACCAATGAAGATTGGGATATTATTTCAGAAAAATATGAATTGAATGATGAGATGATTAGATTGTTTCAAAATAAATTGAATTGGGAAAAAATTGCTAAATATCAAATTTTGAATGAAAAGATTATTACTGAATACATAAATTATCAGTTAAAAGATCATATTGATTTGATTTGTAAATACCAAATATTATCTCAAAACTTTATTGAAGAATACAAATATATGTTGGATTGGGAATTACTTATTGAAAACCAAAACTTATCTGCTAAATTTATTGTTGATAATGTTAAAGAAATTCAATATTTTAAAGATAAAAATGATTATGATACTGTTGATTAAACATTTTTCAGTTGATTAAATAGATTTCAGTTGATTAAAATTAAAAATTAATAAAATTTTACTTGTTTTAAAAAACCTTTTTCTTTCCATATTTTTTCATAAATTTTTCCTTAATAAATGGCTAATACTTATGAAATTGAAAGAGCTGAATATAAAAATGTTTATCCTTTATCTAAACTACATTTGAATGAACCAAACAAAAAAACTGAATTTAATATTGATTTTGGTGATGGATTTTGTTCATCTAAGTTTCAATTTTATATTTCAGGATCATTAAAAAAATCTGATGATAAAGACTATAGTGCTACAGATAATGTAAAGTTGATTAATAATTTTATACCATTCTTATTTTCAAAAATTGAAATTAGAAAACATAATAAATTAATTGAGGAAATTGAATATCCTGGACAATTGAGTACAATAAAAGGTACTGTTACTTATTCAAAAACAGAAGCAGTATCCAACATTTGTAATGGATTTCAATCAGATTTCAAAAAAACATTTGAAGCTGTGGGTAATCTATCACATTTTGGATTAGGTTTCTTTGAAAATGTTAATGTTCCAATATACAAAGGAGGATTCAATATATGTTTTGTTAGATCTGAAGATAATGATGCTATTTTTAGATGGAAAACTAAAAAAGTTGATGGAACTTTTGATGATACTACATTACCAGGTGTTGGAAAAGTAATTATTGATGACTTTTTCATTAGAGTTCCAATAATTGAGTATAAAACTACAAGTAAAATTCAATATATTAATGAAATAACTAAAAAAGAAAAAATACTATTTCACTTTAATCATTGGCAATGTATTGAACAAAAGACAATAACTGGAAAAACAGTTAGTTTTCATATAACAAATATTTATCGAAACATCTATAATCCAAAATTTATAATAATTGGTTTTCAAAAAGGTAGAACTAATGATCAATTATATGACACTTCAAAATTTGATAGTATGTATATTAAAAATATTAGAGTAAAATTAAATGGTCACTATTATCCTGATGAATTAATAAATCTAGATATAAATAATGGAAAATTTAGAATTGTATATCAAATGTATCAAGATTATAAAAAGGTTTATTATAACAATAGTGAAATGTATTATGATCCAACAGAATTCATTGAAAATAGACCATTGTATGTGATTGATACTACAAAAACTACTGTAAATATTTCAGGATCAAAAAATGATATAATAATAAATATGGATTTTGATTATGATATAACTGTTGCTAGTAAAACTAATTGCTATGTAGTTGTTGTGTCTGAAAGATTATTAGAGTATAATGTAATTAAAAATGATATAACTGAAATCAAATAAAATTATTATAAAACCACCATTTATTTACTACTTTTTGACATATTTTTCAAAATATTATTATATTTTATGAATAATGAGACTACTATTGTTAATTTAAAATTTGTTTCATAAAAAAATATTAATAAATAAAAATTTTTGATTTTCAAGGTCACAAGAAATGAATATTTTAAATTTTATTATTTAATAAATTTGTACTTACCTTATAGATATATCATACCAAATTTCATGTAAATATCTTAAAAAACAAAAAAGTTATTAAGGTTTTTAGTTTAAGGGTAGTTCACCCTAAATTGGAAAATTTTAATAAAAACATTAATTTTTAACATAATTATTCATAATTTTTAAGTTTCAGATTTTTTTGATAATTTTTTCAATTTTTTAAAAATAAAATAAAAAATAAGGGATGAAACTACCCTTAACATAAGTCAAAAAATTATTTAATACTCAATATATCTGTATACCAAAATTAATCAAAATTGGTTAAAACACACATGAAATATAACACTTATAAGTTACCATATTTTTACCATAATTTAAGCAACATTTTAATTCAGAGGAATAGTAGAGAAATCTAATTTTATGGTGTTGGCTAACTTGCTTGCGTTTGACACTAGCGAACCTAGCGGGATGACCTTGCGTAATGCGACGATCATAGTACCATTTATCTGATCTTTTAAATCATCTAGTGGACTTGACACTTTGTAGCTCAATCCATTTGTTTGTTTCATTCTATTTCTATTTAGACTTAGCATTGATTATATATTTTAAGCATATATTATAAAACATTTTTCAATTAGTTAAAATAAATCAAAACAATCATGTAAATCCACACTGCATTTTACTAACATTCTATTAGTTATTATTTTATTCAATCACTTATTTTCATCAAAAGATCAACCAAACAAATTAGGCCATAGACTAATATTCCTTCAATAACATTATATTTACAACGCAATTTGTTTTTGTTGATTTTTACATTATCTTTAATCGTACAGAAATGTATAATATATGAAATAGCATTAATTTTTGACAAGCTTTTCATTGGTGATATTTATTTTCAATTTAAATCAATACTTATCTTTTTATCTTAAGATTATCATTTTTAATAACATTTCATGTTTAAGTTTAAAATTATTTAAAATGAAATATGGGCTTGTAATACATCAAATATCATTAGAATTTTCTGAGAAATTCAATACTTTTAATAGATTTTGAATAACTCAAATAGGAAAAATATTATTTACAAAAAACAATAATTTAAATGAAATATTTAGAAAATTTGAATAAAAAATTTTAAAATTTTACTTGTTTTTAAAAACATTTTGTTTAGTAGTCAATTTTATGGAAAATATAGACATATTCATGAAAATTTCATCAAAATTATATACTTTTTCTAGAAAAATATGAAAATGTTAGAAATTGACCTAAAAGGGTAAAAAATATAGCATATTGTATAAAAAAATAGGAAAATTCATTTAATTTTGGAGTGGCTCCTTTTTTGGCCCAGAAGTGACATGAATATATCTACTAACACAGTTATATTATATACTGTAAAACATGTTTGGCCATACTCATATTTTACACAAAATTTATTAATTCATGATATGTTTCAGGTATTAACGTATCCCGACCAATATCCAAATACTTTACACTATTCGTCCACTCCTAAAGTCTACTGCAATATGAATTTTCGTTCCCGTACTTGTATAGTAGTTACCACGTTAACAGTAGGTATTGTTATAATGATTGGGATATCTTGTGTCCTGTACAAGGTAATATATACTTTAAATACCTTTACTAAAATTTATTTTTCTAATGGTTAAGGGTATGGATTGAAGCGTAGCAAGATTAACTATTTTGAAGTTTGGATTTAAGTTTGCATAAACCTGATTTGAAAATACTCCTTTCTTAATGTTAAATTATTGGATCATAGTAACCACATGTTATTCCAAGGCTAACAATGTACACTAACAACCTACGTGACTGTAAAGTATTTGGTCTAAATTTCCACCCATGTAATAAAGGGTTTCATTGTTTGGTAGCATGAAGCGGATAAGAAACAAACAGAAAATATTGAAACAACTAAAACCGAACAAAATGTGACTAAAATCATTGAAGAAGATCAAACAAACATCGACGAGAATGTTGAAGAGGACAACTCAGATACAGGGGAATCTTCCGCAACCCTTGAGAGTAAGTAAAAATATCAGCAACCCATTTGTATAATGGTTTAGTTTTCAATACAAATATTTCACATTTAAAAGATCTATATAGATAATTCCATCTTGTATGAATATTTTAAAACATTAGTTAAAAATTATCAAGATTGGTATTTTTTAATTTTAATACTTAAAGCTGTGTCACACTAAATAAAAAGAAAATTCTAAATTTGTATTTACAATTAAAGAGTTATCGATGCGTTCCGAGTAATGTAATACATTTTGTGAAGTTGAGGGCTGGATTTTAAACTTAAGCTAATACAACAGTCCTTTTAAAATATATTAAAAACAAGGAGTATTCATAAGACAGAGTCTCCAAACATAAAATTTTATTTTATGGCTTGTCCTAGATCTCAAAATAGTTACCAATGATTCCTTGTTGCAATGGAGGGTACCTTAAGCAACAACCAGGAGCAAAATAATGTTGATGTTACTCTATTGTTTGTGGGCCTTCCTTATAATTTTTATTAATTTTAATGGCACTTAGTTTATATAGATTTTTCACTCTTTTTTTGTGTTTGAAAACCGTAACATAGTTCCAAACCACATAATCTTTTATTCATTAGAAATTAACAAGCGAAAACTATTCGTTTGTTCAAGTAGTTTGGCATTTGATGGTAACTAAAATTTACAGACTACAAACCTCTACCAGATGACTTCAAGAGAATTACTAACTGGAGCCAGTTCTCCAGCCCTGATGGAGTATTATCTGCAGCTGGGGCTGACTTCCACAACGATAGGGGCTGTCGTCGTGTTGTGGTGTTCATAGCTAGAGGAGTCCTCCTAGGACATATCCTGACTGACTGTGACTCCCTAGAACCCTCCATGGGTCTGGTGATGGTGGACGACACTCTGCTCTACTACGGGAGTGCGATGATGAAACAAGGCCCACTAAAGGATATGTTTACGATTTTTGAAAAGTTACTTGCATTGCCCAAGTGTGTTATTACTGAATACACTCTAACTGAGGAAGAAAGGTACTTTAGAGAAAATTTACAACTAAAAAATATAGTTCGTTTAATTATACTACATTGACAATCTTTACAAAGTATGTGAGACCATATTACCCTTTTATAATGATCAAATATATGTCCATATTTAAATTTTAACCCTGAAAGTATCATTGTACATCAAAGATAGACATTGTTAATACTTTATTCCAATTATTGCAAGGTGGCCTTGACCTTAAATTAACATTGACTTGTTTTTTAACTTATTTTTACCTGGTAAATGAATACTTTACGCTATGTATACATACTAGGCTTATACTCGTGAAAGTTTGCGTCAGCGAATTGAATAATTTAAAATCATCGTTTTCAGGCCCTCGCTTAAAGATAAATCTGAAAACAAAACTGTTAATGAAAACGACGACTATGAGTGTAAAAGCTTAATAAACTTCAAAATGCCAACAATGCTTCGTAAGTCTTTATTAATTTACTACCAGAAATAAAGAATAAAGGTAGAAATTTAAATAAAACTAGTTTATTCCCTATATGAGAAATTTGCTGAAACACGTGTGGCACGTAAATATAATTATTCAATCAGAGTAGTAAAAGGCTACATTTAAGAAACATTCTAAATCTGTAGTTAAAGTAGTCTTAATTACTTTTTAGAAAGGGAACATGGAAAATGGTATATTTTATAACAATGGTGGAATGTGAGCTATTACATATTTGAGACCATATTTAAAGACCATATGTCTTATGCATTAAAACTATGCATATGTTAAAAGTGCAATATTTATCGAGCACTTTAAAATATATGGTCGAGAACCCATATTTAACTTATTTTTACCATAATTACCCATTTTTACTTTGTTTTGACCGTTAATTTGCATGAACATTTCAAAACTAATAGAGTTTAGTTGGGTTTCTATTTAGTTCAAACTTACATTAATTTTGTTCAAAGGTTTATTGCGGACATTTTCCATCACGAAAGTAAAAAACAATACACAACGTTTCGGGATCTGGAATCTGATCCCGTCTTCAGGTGAAAAAAACTTAACTAACACATTACAACTAACAATACACAAACGCCCAACCTAAGTTGGAATACACTACCGAGGGTAGTAGTCAAAAAATATGCACTGTATAGCAGTCAAGTCATGATACAACATGCAATTAATAACAAATCACAAAACACTATAATCTATAAAAGGTTTACGTACAAAAAACTCACACAATGGAACACTAACAACACCGTACGCTATGACTCCACCAATGAAACTGAACCAACATGGCTGATCAATCGGAAACACGGAGACAACAGAAATGGCTTCCGGTCCCTGGAAAAGTAAAACCAACAGAATGGCGGAGCGATGTACGATGCCGCAAGATGGGTGTTAATTATGTTTATTCCTATCACGAGTTTTACTACGAGTTAACATAACGTGCGAATTTTGAGGAGAACTCGTTATTTCCTTATTTATTGAACAATTAAGTTCCCTATCCTTTAGTTCCTTTTTCAAAATGGGTAGCCAAAGTGGCCTTATTTCAACCGATGACTGACTGATTGGTTGGTCTGCTAATTTAATGTATGAGGCTTCAATGAGTTTACGTTTGAAAAAATGAGGTTCCTTATGGACAATTTTTGCCTCTTCAAAATTCATACGATGATTTTCGGACCAGCAATGATGAGCGATCTTAGATTTTTCCACTAAACCTTTTTTTGGTGTTTTCTCTGTGTTCTTTGATTCTAATGTTCAATGGTCTTTTTGTCTCGCCATAGTAAATCCTGGAACAATCATTGCAATTTATTCTGTAAACACAGTTTTTAGTATCCTGAGTGTCATTTTTGGGTTTTGTTTTGACGAGACTCTGCCTAAGTGTGTTTTGTGTCCTAAATGCTGTTTGCACATTAAATTTCCTAGAATCAAAGAACACAGAGAAAACACCAAAAAAGGTTTAGTGGAAAAATCTAAGATCGCTCATCATTGCTGGTCCGAAAATCATCGTATGAATTTTGAAGAGGCAAAAATTGTCCATAAGGAACCTCATTTTTTCAAACGTAAACTCATTGAAGCCTCATACATTAAATTAGCAGACCAACCAATCAGTCAGTCATCGGTTGAAATAAGGCCACTTTGGCTACCCATTTTGAACAAGGAACTAAAGGATAGGGAACTTAATTGTTCAATAAATAAGGAAATAACGAGTTCTCCTCAAAATTCGCACGTTATGTTAACTCGTAGTAAAACTCGTGATAGGAATAAACATAATTAACACCCATCTTGCGGCATCGTACATCGCTCCGCCATTCTGTTGGTTTTACTTTTCCAGGGACCGGAAGCCATTTCTGTTGTCTCCGTGTTTCCGATTGATCAGCTATGTTGGTTCAGTTTCATTGGTGGAGTCATAGCGTACGGTGTTGTTAGTGTTCCATTGTGTGAGTTTTTTGTACGTAAACCTTTTATAGATTATAGTGTTTTGTGATTTGTTATTAATTGCATGTTGTATCATGACTTGACTGCTATACAGTGCATATTTTTTGACTACTACCCTCGGTAGTGTATTCCAACTTAGGTTGGGCGTTTGTGTATTGTTAGTTGTAATGTGTTAGTTAGGTTTTTTCACCTGAAGACGGGATCAGATTCCAGATCCCGAAACGTTGTGTATTGTTTTTTACTTTCGTGATGGAAAATGTCCGCAATAAACCTTTGAACAACATTAACTCACCATCACCAACAATGAACTTCAAACAAAGAATTACATTAATTGATCAAACAATAACAAACGTTTGTTTGTTTGTCTCAGAAAATCCAAGAAAGATAGAAAAGAACAGTTTGCGTAGTAAACATCCTTTCGTATGTAGTAAATAATTAAATAATTAATTCTTGCAGGTAATAATCATACAGCGAAACAGGTGATTTCACAGTACTGTAGCGAAAATGATATGTTACAACTTATTACATACCATATTTTTATTCTTAAAAAGTATCAAAAAATTTCACACTAATCAACTTATTCAGGTAAAGAATATTACATTAGTGTCTTTATTTTTAACCGTCCGAATTTTTACCTTTGAATTATCTTGTTACCAAAGCCAAACAACGCAATATTTCAAATTTAGCCTATAAAATGTTTAAATAAATACAACTCACATTAAAAACAAACTATAAACTTTTGTAGTGCAGTTATGAATTGCTTCCATGTGGATACAATTTCTAATTATACTTACCGAACTTAATTTCACACAAAATGTCTAACATAATTAATTGTTTTGAAAAGATTTTTAACGAAACGCTCCCAATCAATAATAATCAGCATTGTCACTTTTTCCAGTTTTGTCCGGGAACGGAGCGACGGGGACGTTCGCTCCTGGTAGATTCTGGGCGACCATCAACCCCTGGGAGCCTTTAGGGGTGGTGACAAGGATCTTTACTTATGGATCGAGGTGTTTCCGTCTTCTAGTCATAACCAGCTATGGTCGAAGTTTAACTGCTGTGAAGGTACTTTTAGTCAGAAAGTATTAGAAGTTTAGTTGATCATATGATATCAAAGATTTAAATAGTTTTAAAACTCTCTTCTGGTTTTAGGTATCTTGCGGACCTTTAGAGAACATGGTTGTGACACAAGATGCTTTATACTTCGGAGATGCTTTTGTGATCAGACGAATCCAGTCGGACACCTTTTCCGTCGTTTTAAACCCTAAGTGGAGAAGAAATTGCTTAAAGAAGACCATTTATTTCACAACTCAGAACGGCCGGTAACTTATAATTTTCTGTTTTTGCTCATGTGTGGGATATGAAATAAATCTGTATTTGGTCAAAACAACAACTCTAAAACTCGTTTGTAAGTACACAAAGAGTATATTGTGTAAGGATACAGTTGAACCAAAAATTCCGCTCTTTAAAGTCAGCCGTTGAATAAAAATGCCACTCATTACATCCCAGTGTCAAATGGTTTGAAGGTCCGACATCAACCAACAGCCTTTAGATTTTAGGCCATCCAAATACTATCTTGGTTATATGTTCCTTAATTCAGGCATTAAGGCATATATATTTTAGAAAGGTACAAATAAGAAAATCAATTAATATTAGTAGGAATGTTGCAATGAGACATAAACCGCAATATCCAAAGTGAAAGCTGACTTTTCACTTTAAACCGTTTCACTTGTAAAATTTAAAATTTACTGATTTGTGTTAAATGTTTCTGTATCTATGAATTTTGTATTTGTTTTATTGTATAAACTGATTTTGATAAAATATTTGTATTATATTTTTATGTACAGGTTAAGGGTAAGAATGGTCCATGTGGCCTTAACTTTGCCTGTGGAAATAAATTATATTTCATTTCATATAGTACGCGTGTAGTATTTATATAGTACGTTCATATAGTAACCATGTGCAAAGCACGTTGCTGTGAAATTCTGTAAATTACATAAAAGGTGTGTTTACTGTAAACAGCAGAATAATCACAATAGAAGCACAATAGTATGTATCAAAATGTTTCAAACAGACCAAATTTCTAGAAACACTTCAAAATAGACACCCGATCAATTAATTATGCCAAAAAAGATATTACCTAGTAAAATGTTCAAAGAAGAATTGATTCCACTATGTTCCATCCATTCTCTTCCTTATCTTCCTTAAGCGAGTCATTGCATATTTACAACAGCTTAAAAATTTGCATTTTCGAACATTATCAACATTTTAAAAATCCCGAGCAGCCACATAATTCAAAAAAATAAATATAGAGCTAAAAACTTGGAAAAAATTCACTAGACATAAAAAATTGTTTTAAACATTAATCCACGATACGTGATGGGATGAGGACGTCCTGCTAGCAATCAGAAGACATTATTTAAGGCACGCATCAGGTAGTATGCATATCAACGTTAAGGTCTTTTTGAGTAAAATACAATGCCGCAAACATGAACTCAAAAGGATAACCGAGTCAAAACTGGCTGTCGTTGAAAGATTTCTGGAATTAGCAATTTTGGTGAACCCGCAAAAGTCATAAAAAAATCATAATTGTAAACATGGCTTATGCATGACAAATTATGTGAGTCAAAATGGGAATCGTTCAAAGATTAAAAATACAATATGGGGACTGTATTGAACAATTTGGAGTCAACAGTTAGCTTTCATTTTGGATGATGGGTTTTGTTTTTTCTGCTAACTGAAGCGTATTTCCTTGCAGTCCGACCGTGATGCTCAAATCAATGGAAAACTTACGTCATGATAGCCAAGAATGCACCAGTGTCGTGAACGGAGAAATATCTGGAGCAACTATAGGAAATGATGCTGTGGAAGGACTTGTTGAGAGGCTCAACTTTAACAACTTGGGTGGTAAGTATATTTGTCTGACGTGAAAACTGGGCACCAAAAAGCCTCACCTCTATCACCTTGCTACTAAAAGCAGATGCTGCTACCATGCAGCGTGCATGCATCTCACAGTGTTACTGCCATCAAAAATCTTAGTCACACCACGTGACACAGTTTCTTATGACTGTTTCTATCATGATGATACACCAACCAGTAGAATTTTGGCACAATATAACGCCACTGTCTTGTCTTAGCCTGCATGATAAGATTCCAAGTTTTATGACGAGACGGAATTGATTTAGTAGCAACTATGAATGGCACTTTTTATTGTCATCAATCAAATCTACCTTTTTATTTAAGTTAACTTCACTACAGTACGGACCACGAGAGTCTGCAGTTGAGGGAGGAGCCTATTTACCATGTGAAGTGGCTAATGAGGACCGTGCGTTGTTGCCAAATCTAATAATAATACCAGCTGATATGAATATTGTTTGGTATTTTAATGAGGGTTATCAACTGGCGATATGGCAACTTCGCACTAGACTTTGTCTTATGATTTTCTGCAACCAACTGTAGGCTCTCGTGGTCCCGACTATAGTTATACTTATATCAAAAACTTAATAAATTAGCTAGCATTACATGTTCTGTTTAAGAATTAACACCAGCTTTTCTACTCTCACAGTCGAACCACTTGGACATTTGATGAATAACTTCACACCATGGAGTCGCCTAAGTTATATAAACCTCTCCGTGGACCTTGGAGTAGCTGTGAGGTTTTACAAGAGCAATGTGGGGGTCGATGTCTACAAGCTGGTCTTGGCGATCGCTAAGGGAGTTCCACTGACAGCTCAACTATTGCCCTTTAGTCCCGTCCATCGTCTAGTGATTAGAGAGGATGTCTTGTACTATAACACAACTTTGATGATGAGGAGGGCCAAAGAGGACAACACGTTCACAACATACGTCATAGTTAACGACGTAGGGTGTCTAAAAAGGTCGTTCTTGTTGAAGAACGAAAATGGACGGCAAGTAGTTTCGTAATTTCAACTAGCGTTGATCGTCATGAAATATATGTTTACTGGTTTAGCTAGGAGCTTAGTGTCAATATGTTTATACAAGAGCCGTATCATGCAAACAAAAACTCTTTTCTGGCGATTGGTCAAATTAAAAAGAAATTGAATAAATGTCCACGGTTGCTTTTTGTGAAAGATTATCCTATATGCAGGCAGTTATTGTTATGGCAATTGTGAACTCTGAACATACAAAAATAAGAACCTGTCTTTACCCCTTCTCTCATTTTAGGTTATTTTTATTTCCTGTAAATTACAGTTGGTATTCAGTTCAAGTTCTTATGGTATACAGTTAGTGTTGTACTTAATGTACCGTAAATAATGTACAGGATGGCCAAAAGAGTCCCTATACACAATATAGCAGTACGTATTACACTGTTATAAACTCTACTGATCAGCAAATATTCGTGAGCTGGGGAGAGAATGAAGCCTCACTTTGCCTTCCCCAACCACCGCCAAAGCCCTAGGACGCGGTGGCACCCAGTAAGGGCGGCTTTTGCACGAGTCACCTCAGATATGATGAAACGAATGAGCCAAGCTTAGCCTAAACAATAGAGCTATACATTCCGATCTTTGGGACTAAAAATGGTGTTTACCTGGTATAGTCTACAATAAATTTATGATAAAAATAGATTTCTATGGTTTTATTCAACCCCGATTTAATTTGCCTTTAGTGTATAGCATTACTGCTTTCATTATTTCGTAATTTTGAGATAAAATCTTCGGGTGAACCAAATAACGTATATCAGGCGTTTCATTGAGCCGTATTCATTTGAAATCTTGAAAACCACCGTAATGCAGAGTCATCATTGGATTTTAGACGTAGATCGGTAGACAAGAGGAAAATATAAATATGTGCAAAAATCTCTATGAGTAATCTGGTATTTGTTGCAGGTTTGTGAAAGAAACACTGCAATCCGGAGTAGTTACTAAAAATTCGGACGATGACTGCATGGACATGATCGAAGGAAGAAAGCTAAAAAGTAAAGATTACTTTAAATGGAACTATGAAACAGATGAAGCTGGTATTCCTAAATATCTTCCAAAAGAAGTAACACTTGATACTTGATGCAAATTTCGGAGTGTTAATTAAATTTGATTGAATGTATAGTTTTATTATTGGACAAAATTCTTAAGAGTAGGACTGATCCAGAAATAGTTTTTTAGCTTGCATTTTTTTATGTAATCATGAAAGTTCTATAACTAATATAATTAGCTTTTTAACAACAATATCCTAGTGTTTGCTTTACATTTCATATTAACGTGATAAAACGATCCGTGGAAATAATCACCTGATTAATAAAAACTCCCACTACTGCAAACCGGCAGGCTACGCGAATCGTCATTTTTCCATAATAAATTTTCATTTAAATATATTTCAAATGTCATATTATTTTTTCATATTTTAATAACCTTAGTTTTGGCGCTTAGCATTAGCATTGCTGCTACAGGAAAGGTAGTAAAGAGTTTGTTTTTATATTAACAAAACAATTATTTAGTAAGAAATAAATAAGATTTAAATGTTATCAAAATATGTTCGCAAGTAAGCCAATTACAAAAGTTTACTTATTTTTCATAAGAAAAACAATGACATTTTTCTTTTATAGTTCTTTATTATTTTTTCCTCAATAATTAGGTGAATGACAAAGCTTCAAAATAATAATGTTTTTAAGCTCTACAAATTGGTTCGGAAAGGAGTTTAGAATTTCACTATTCATTCGAACTTTTATATAATTATGTATGTATACACGTCCGTGAACTTGAGTAATTTTTGTGCGATTTTGATGAAATTTGGTTTGAACGTGTAAGGCGGGGTAAACTTGAATGAGTTCGCGAACGAGCATTATTGGACCACTGGAACAGGGGTTTATATGGTTAAAAAATTGTTTTTCTCATTTTTGATCCTCAAAACAAACAAAAATTCCCAATCTCTCTCTAGACCATATGAGGGAGTTTAAAAAGCAAATAATTTAGTATGCCAAATTGTTTTTGTACGGTTATTGGTTACGGAGAAATTCAATAATTGCAAATTTAAAATTCCCATGTTATTCTTATGGAGAATTTGTAAAATGCTGCGGTCTTCTTATTAATTAAAATATTCTGATCAAACTTCGCAAATTATTTTTTCTCATACTAAGCTACTAATATTTTACCTTAAATCATACTTAATAGCCTCCCCATACTTAGTAGCAGCAAAACTAGGTCGTTATACCTAATGTTATTTAAAAAGATATAATTTAATATAAATTCAGGAAAATGGAGATTCGCTTAGTCTGTAGGTTTTAGCGGGGGTATTTGTTTTGTATATAGCTTTAAAAAAAATTCGTTTCTAGAAGCTAATCAAATGTCGAAAGAGGCGAACCGAAGTAACTTCCTCATACAAACCGTTATTTGTCCGATGTCAGCAACTGTGTAAGCAAAGATTTAACAATCTGAAATTTCAGCTCACGTTCTCTTGAGTTTGGGGCTGAGTCAAACCGATAGATCACATTTGTGTCAGCTTTGAATAACTTACTAGGATGACATGCTTTGCTACGTTCAGGGAATTTATGGAAGTACTTAGTGTATTTACTTAGTGTACTACATAAATACACTTAGTAGCACTCTTGATAGTGCATGATTAGTTTGTTCATCGTCAATAATACGTCGTACAGGTCATAAAGAATTTCTTATTTCAATTAAATTATTTAAATAATAAAATGTTTATCATAAAACTATTTTCAAGAATATTTCACATGGTTTTTAAAAACAGAGTATACAATGATTTTAGCAAATCGGGTTTTCTCTCATTGCGTATTTTGTCGCTTTAATTTTGATCGCGTAACATTTTATCGTATAACATAATTGACTATTATTGTTTATTATTGCCATTATTTATCACTATTTAACATTATTCTTTATTGATCGTAATAACATTTTCAATATAAATTAGATGTAAATTATGTATGACTTAAAACACCCACGGTCTTATTTATGACAGAAAATCTTTGATCGCCAAAAACCAAAGTATAAACTGCATAGTGAATACATCAAATAGTTGTACGATATTAGTTAGACTGACCGAAGTAAGTTTGACTCTGGAGGCAAGATGATCCGATAAACACGAGTCCATTGTAGTTATAAGGGTGCTTGGTGTTCTGAGAGCCCTCGGATCTTGGATAGGTTAAGCTTATAAGATGATCTACTACAAGTCCCATTACTTGAGTATCAAACTTCGTTTTTATCCAGTTATTAATCAATATTACCGGTATTATTTTTTGGAGTAAAAATTAACTATGAAGAGTATTTCAACACAGTTTTTTTTAAAGGTTTAGACATGTATGAAAAGATTTGCGATGCATACTTCGGACAAGAACTCTGTAGTCTATTGTCTGCACTTTTGTTTGAAAAGTTCCTTTTGTCCCGCAAAATCACGTATTGTTCTTGAGATCTTTACAAACGTACATCCACATTTCTTATTCCACCATATGAAATACTAATAGAAACTCCTTATCGGACGGTTAAACAAAATTTGACACTTTTATACCTAATAACATAGTTTTGATCATTGAAGTTAAAATATTAAGCATTAAAAATAGTAAGATGGACAATAACAGAACAATAGTTTGTCTTATAAAAGGAATTGATGCTATTTTCAAAATAATTAGTTTTTTATCAGGAAGTAACTTTACAAAACGCGACCAAAACTCCCAAAGTTCAAAGTTATTACGACTTTCAAGAACGATGAAAATAAACTTTGAAAATGACTAAGAAAAATATGTTTGGCGTTTTCCTTGTCACGAAATATTATTTCACTTAATGGCTTCATATTTCCCGAAATGATTAAGAATATTTATATTCTCGCGCTATTAGAAAAATCTGTTTTTGAAATTATTTATTTTATTACACCAATAATACTAAAAAAAATTTCATTTGCTCGTTTAGTTGCTTAGTCTTTAATGTAAAATCAATTATAAGTTTAGTTGTGTCTCTCGTTGATAAGTTTCTTAAAGAACGTTATAAAACCTTTTTTTTATATAAACAATATAACAAAACACGCCGTACTTATCCGACAGTCTACCAGTTCTAGACACGAGACTGACATATTTCCCTTGGGCAACATCTGATCTTAGGCGTGATGTTTATTAACACTGTAATCTCTAAGGAACTGTATCGCTACAATACAAGCATGCCTAAGGTTCATTGTGGGGTATAATGGTTACAAATCATCAGTACATTATGTGTTTTAATGACTAAAGTTGAGTTTCTTCATTATCTACAAGGACATTAATCACTTACACACTTACTTAATTAAGTACATTAAGTACATTACACTTATTTGATAAAGTGACATTAATCACTTTATTATCACTTACACATGTCTTGCCATATAACCCTCTCGTTGGAATAGAAAAATGTGTCATTACTTTTATCATTTGAACATCATATAGCCCCATATTTACTAAACATATGGAGGCTGACCACAAAGCTTTTAAATGTATGTGTTATAAGAAAAATGTTTTAGAGTCTTAATCAATCAACCTGCATTTTACTTAATACAATTTAAAACATTAAACCAAAGCAACCCGTTAGCTGTTAAAACAACTTAAGTTGTAGCTTTAGCTTTCAACAATTATAGATTATTAGTTTCCTTTGCCATTGGGAAAATCAGTAAAAAATAGCAAAAAAAAAAAACTCTAGCCTGACAGTATGTTTACTTGTCGTCCCGCCACAAGATTAACAAGTGTTATTGAAGGAGCTTCCATATTCTCATAAGTAGATAAATTGGGCTTGATCAACCCCAGAACTAGTGAATGAAAAATGCCTTAAGTATTTTGACAAAATTGTTCTTTATGCTATTTCAAAATTGTTCCTTTATGTTTTTTTGTTTCTTCATGCTAGAGGATTTTAATACTTTTAATAAAGTCAACCGGTTTTCAGGCTTGGACGTGGACCATTATTAAAATAAAATTGTATATGATCATTTCGACATTTTGGGGGGTTGGATATAAAATAAATATTTTGTCAATGAGCTTCATTATAAACTATTGAATACCAAAATCAACTGTTACGGAAAAGTAACATTTTCGTTCGAAGTTTTGTCGGCTCGCCCTGAATATTTGTAGTATAATAGATGACGTATGGAGGCTAGATCAACAGAAACTCAACCTCTTGAGCCCTCGTCATCCATCAAAGAACACTCGAGGTCCACAGAGACAATGGGGTGTGTTTCCGTCTTTCACAGAATCTTAGTTAGACGTACTATGAATAATCATTTATTAAAAACCTCAATATATATTTCACTGTAAGTTTGCCAAAACAATGTTTATTTTTTCATATAAATAAAATGTCATATACGTTAAAATTTTTTTGTTAAAAAGATAATAATTTGGAGTGTTGTTATGTTATGAAAGAAATGAAGTTAAGATTGATTTTGTTAAGATTTTATTTTGTTATTTAAATAACTTTAGTCCGTGATATCATAAATATTGAATAGCGTATATTCACGACTAAAAGTTTTGGAGAATCGTTATTATATTAAAGTGAATCCTATGAATCTTTTACAAGTGGCTCACTATAGGGTTTCGTGCATGTGTAAAACTTAATATAATATCATCGACAAAAGTTATAAGGTTTAAAAGCATCTTTCGTATCAAATTATGTTTAATAGCTAAGCTACCGATAATATGGTTAGTTTATGATAGGGATTGTTACCTTTGATGGTTGCAGTTGATTGAATGGTGTTATGTTATTGGAAATCAATTTATTTACAGTAATAAAAAAGCAAGAGCATCGTTCCTAATATAAATTCAATACGAGCTAGATTCTGTTTTTGTGCTAATTATTCAGCACAATGCTCTCATAATGTAAACGAAGTGAGTGATATATCCCATAGAATAACTAAAACCCAAACAAGTTGAAGACAAACGTTATACATTTAAATATACTTTCGTTAGAAAAGGGGGAAAGTAAACAATTCTCTTTTTCCTGCTTAGCGTTTTAGAACTTTAACTTAGATTCAATATTTTTATCCGATTTCTACTAGAGTAAAAATGTTTGCTTTTTCACACATGAAACGTCTGATAATATGTATAATAAGTTCGTCCTAGCATAATTTTAAATCAATGACAAATGTTTCAAATTCTTTTTAATACCTCAGCAACACTACCCTAACAATATTGGGCTATTCTAAAACAAAATTTCACGGACAGAATTATTTATGCTTGCCACGTGCGTGCTTAA